CCAGATTCCAGGCCCCCGCTCCACGGCTCCCACCGGCTGCCTCCCACGCCTGGCCGCTGCAACCCTCCCATAACCCATATTTCTTCTCGGGAATGGCACTCAAGGGCGTCGACAGCCCTCCGTGGGCTGCTCGTTCGCTGCTCATTTGAAAGGTTTATCGCGGCTTTCCCACCATTCCTGGCGGGCATCGTCCTCTGGTCTGTGCGGAGGCACGCTTCTGACTATTTTCTGGGCCAATTCCGCGTCGGCGATGAAGGGTGGGAGGCGGAGAACGAGGGACGCTCGTGAGCCCGGAGAATGAGAACCCTGAGAAAGAATAAAACCAAAGCGGATCGTTGCATTGATAGGATCCTCTCTCTTGACAGCAGCTGGCTCCGTGTCTTAAAGAACCGATCCCCGGATCGGAACACCAGAATCTCCTATGCACTCAAATATAGACTGCTCCTGGACGTGGAGGTTTTACCTGCATCAAGAGTCCTGCTATCATAGACCAGAAGCCCACGTAGATCCGTGGCCTGTTTCCAAAATGGCTCATGCCCTGGGTCTGATTTCTTGGAAGCCCTTGAAGTCATCCATATATTCCGTAACCTTCCCCAGTTTGGCAGCCTCTCCCTCCCCCCCGCAAGCTAGTGTGCAAAGACCGATTGCATCTGTCTAGAAAACTTAGTACAACGCCATTAATATTCCCCCCTGACACCGAGCCAAGGAAACGCACGAGTGAGCAAATGAGTTTTGAGCGAGTTTGTGTTTGGTTTTGAAAACCGCAACTCTTCCGACATGCACCCGGCCCCTCTAAGGGTGCCAGGCAGATGCACGCTCTGCCACGGCCCCCAGCTGCGGTCTATCGGCCCAGGCTCGATCATGCTACACGCCAGCGGCTGAAAATCACCCGCAAATCAGGGCCAGCGCGAAAGAAAATCGCAGCAAAAGCCGGGTTCCCTTGCATTCCAGAGCAAATCCACATAAAGGGAACGGAGTGTGTGTGTGTGTGTGCGCGCGCGTGTGTGCATGCGTGCACATCTCCCACCTCCCTCGCCTCCTTGCCAAGCAGCGTAAAGGAACTGACAAGATCATCTTTATCCAAATAATTATATCTCAGTCAAGACTGCCTGGGGCCGGGAATGGCATGTCTGAAATCACACCGACTTCCATACGGTCTCTTTCATGTTTGTCGTGGACTCCAGGCAGAATCTTGGAAACTCCTGGAGAAATTTCCCACCCTCGTAAACGGAAGAGGGGAGCCTCTGAAAGGTTTCCAATGTTTCTTCTTCCCAGCTTTTTTTTTTGGGTGGTTTTTGGTCTCCCAGGTGGGTGGCTGTTCACGATAAAGGACTCGCAGACCCCCTTCGCATCGGTGTTTTTTCACGTCTCACGTTTGTTCCAATCCTCTCCCATCAGAGTGGAAACGTGGGAGGGTGGGTGCGCTTTTCCAAGGGGTGGGTGAATGCCGATACGTGTGGACGTGCATGGAACTACTCCTTGGGGTACATCTACTCCAGACTGTGTCGATGAAAATAGAAGCCTTTTCTCCACCACCACCCCCCACTCTGAAGTTAAACCGAACCTGTCTCAGCATAACAGAATCTGTAATTAACAGACCAGGCTGATCTAAATTCTGGAGCATTCCTCTACGACCAAGTCCACTGTCGTTTGGCATCCAAGCCTTCTCTCGTTCTGTCTCTCTTGCGCAGACCGACACATGCACGGGAAACGCCTGGTTGTTTAATATGCAAAAGGACTTTCGAAAGAGCCATTAAAGGGGGGGGGGCAGGAAAGATTCCTGGAGGTGAGGGATGGGAGCCAGGGCTCTAAAAACAAAGAATGATCGAGCGCTGCCGTTTTTTTAAGCTCAGCAAACTGGAAAGGAATGGGATGCAGAGGGTTGGGGGAACAGAAACGGCGTGGGTCTAACTGGAAGACTCTAGTGCAAAGGGGTGGGGGAACCCCAGAGGGTTAACCACAGCTTCTCAATGCCTGAGCACACACTCTTTTCCCCAAGCCACACCTCTTGGTTCCTGTTCATCCCCCCAAGGTCACTGATGGATTTGTTTTACCACGCTCAGCCGTGCCCAGGACAAGGCCAGCAGAGGGAATGGGGTCCGTAAGGCGGAAATTCAATCAAAGTCAACGTCCTTTGGATTCAATGTCCTTTTTCTGGCTTCCTCCCCTGTTCAAACACAGGGCGCCCAGAAGGGTTCCCTCCGTCGCTCGGGTCGTTCATTTCGACTCTGGCCCGGCCTCCCGACATGGCAGGAAGATAGGAAACGCTAAAATCCTGTACCAACGCACCCATAATCTTGCTCCGACATGGGTTGGGGTTCTGGGTGGGTCCCCCTGATGCGGTTCTGCACATTGGGGGGAAATTCTGCGACTTGAGCGCTCTGTCGTCGATGCATCTCGCAAGCTCACGGCTCCATCCGAGCCTTTGCTGGGTCCACACCCTGAAATTGCACCCAGGTTTACGGCTTCTTTCTCCCCCCCGCCCGCCTCCCCAGCCCCACATTGCAGCTATGACTGGAGCAGCCATCGGTGTTCACCCCTGAGCAAATTATTGCCTCTTCTTCTCCTCACTCTGTTTCCAAATAGCAGGAACCGACTCAGCTGGAAAAACTTCTCCTTCTCTGTCTGAAATCGGATGATTTGCCAGCCACAGCAGGAAAGGAACCTTGATGTTAAAGGACTCATTTTCTGGATGAATGGCACCGAAAAGTCACTGCTTGTTACCGAAGTCCAACAGGATTTTCTCCCGGGCTCTGTTTGAGCTTTCCATCTTGTCAAGAACAGCCTGGTTATTTCTCATCAAGACAGTAGAGCTGTTTTTCCCCTAGTTGTCTAACCTGGCTGTTATTTATCATTTTAAGTATGCTGTTTTCATGCCAGGGAAGTGAAGCATTTTTGGCATCCCAAAAGCCACATTGTTCATTTCCAAAATTAAAAATCAAGAGTCTGGATACTTTGCCAGCCTTGTCCATCCTGGCAGGATCTGAGCTAGTAGGTTAAGATCAGGAGCAGGGAGTCGGTGGCTTGGCAGATGTTGAGCCACATTCCCAGCATCCTTCACTGCCAGATGACCTGGGTGGTGGCTGTTGGGAGTTGTAGTTCATCAACCTCTGGAGAGCCACTGCTAACCCCTTCCCAGGGCCCGTGAGACAGAATTAAGATTTGGCTGGCGAAACAATGAGCAGCCAGATGGATTGTCTCTGCTTCTGATGCTCTTCTATTTTCTTTTTTTAAATTAAAAAAAAAAAGTTGGTTTTTTTACAGGCAGAGAAAGATGTTCGCTTTGACCAGCTGGGCGGCTTTTCTTCCTGGAGACAGCTAAATTTTTACAGCTGATAAATTAAATCCCCCCTCCTTTCTGCAGTCTGAGTAGCTTGTTTCCATCACATGCAGTGTCCTGGCCAAACCAAGCAGGAAAAATAATTGAAATGCCACCTTCGCTGAGCCTGGAAAAGCCCTCAGAGGGCACCCAGTATTCAGGCAGGAAGCAGCCGGTTCAGATCCTGCTGTCTCAGACAAACCAGTTTCAAGGAACCAGGGCAGGCGCGGAAGCTGGAAAAAGCATCGAAGACTGCCAAAGTTTCATTTTTCATGCAGAAGGGTGGACCCGGGGCATGAAGGGGTAAAGGGCATCACAGTTCTATTCACTGGGCATCACCAGATCCGGTGCCAAATCAACGGCCCCAAGTTGCCAAAAGGACCCTCAGAGGACCCTCAGGACCTCCCAATACAGCTCTGGGGCAAGGCAGTTTCCCCTGCAAAGTTGACCCCGAGAGAGACCTTAAGGGTAGAGCAGTGTATCTCAACCTTGGCAACTTTCAGAGGGGTGGACTTCAACTCCCAGAATTCCCCAGAGAGG